CCTTGAACAGTACAGCATATATTTGAAAATGGACAGTTACAGCGGTCAGATAATTATGGAGCTGAAACATACTGGTGTAGTCACTGAGGTGTTGCCTGTACTCCCTTCCCAAGAGTGGATAGATTTAATGGCTCATATTCTGAGGTCTGTATCATGCCTCTTTCCAATGCTCTGCATGCATCGTGACTGATACCTGAAGGATCTTTTCTGCTGCACAATAACACTCACACAATCCACTGCATCCAAAATCCTGTACTGCCACTGCCATCATCTGCTGTGGAGCTCGTGGAGCTCTCCTCTGGAGGCCCTGGCTGGCTGCAGTGGGACATTGCTTTGTGAGATTTACACATTTCTATCCCAATGAAAGAACCATCAAAGGGGCTGTTTGTAAGTTTTCTCTGCTGCTGAACATGGTTTCTTGCCGGAAACGGGTGGTGGTGATATGCGCTTGACAAGAATTCCGGCCAGTGTTGTGTTTGCAAGAAAAAAGGTTATTATACGCCCTCTGCGCATGACAGATTCAAGGCTACAGTGAGTCAGAAAGTGATGAGACGGGCTGCACCTAGCGGTTAGCATGCTAACTTCAGTAGAAGAAAAGATGCAATAGAGACAACAGTTAAGTTGCACTGCTTTCCACCTCTGGAACAAAATACAAAGGTAAAACAAAATTACTAAACACTACAGTGACTCAGTATCGGAAAGTGACGAGACAGTCCAACCGGGCCGGGATAGCAGGTTAGCATGCTTACTTCAGTACAAGAAAAGAAGTGCTGGAGATAGAAGCCAAACAAGAGCTTTCCACCACTGGAGACAGCTCTTGGCAAATAAAGAAATAAAATTTGATGCTAAACGGCAGCGTTTCTTCTAGACTGGTAAATAAACAGCTGTTAATGCTAATGTTGGCTATGCAGCAATAGTAAATTTGCAAATAGTTCCTTTCACTAAAGCTACAGAAACTGGATCAGATTTGATGCACTTCTAATCAGGCAGTGAAAACACAGATGAACAGAATACAAAGGTACAATAAATCTACTAAATAAAATTTTCCACTGTACTAAAGCCAAAGGAAAACAACAGTATATGTTGTTTTATTTTGCATATTCACATATGAGTGTATCCACTTGGTGATGTTAACCACAAAAAGACAATAAAATCCATCCCATTGCAGTATGTATCTTAGGATTTAGAGAGGTCCAAACACCGACCAGCCAAATGCCAGAATGTAAACAATCCTATTGAACAGACAGTCGAGTGGTAATCTAGGCTCATCTGTAAATGTTTAATGCAAAAGTACAAATAGGCTTATGTAGTGAATGCAGCATGTGTTCACAACATGACTGCATATACAATGCAAACATGCAGCCTGCAGGCCGCAGCTCTTGAAATAGCTTGCAAACCGTGTCTGAATTCTGACGTGTAGGCACTAACACACTGTGTTTGTGTGCACTCCTGTTTTACATGGAGATGACAGAATGCGCTGCACTGCAGTCTCTGTGTTTGTGTTGCTAATATCAAATAGTTACTCACCAATTACAAACTCTCTTGACCTCTGAGATGCTAATCATCATCACAGCTAAATTTAAAATGCTAACCCACGTTACTTACGTAAGAACATTTCAATGTGAGAGAAAAACAGCAGTTTTCTTTAGCAGCTCACACTTAATTAACCTGTAAATCATATAGTTGTGCTCCAGATATTATTAAAAGTCAAGAATCTTGTGGAAGGAAAATAATAATTTGATTAACTAGATGCAGGAGAATCTTATTATCACTATTTACGTGTAGTGTAAAGGTAGTAATCTCAGACTATTGACACAGTCATTCAGAATGTGAGCAAATATTTACCTTAACCTTCTTACTCTTTCAAAGAAAGGCACACACATGCAGCAGATATCACTTTCTTTTCTGCATTTGAGCAGAGTTAAATAGTGAACTCTGATCTGTAAATTCATCCGTCGAGCAGACAGAAAAAGCCGCTTTGGGCATGTTGACTTCCAGAAGTAAAAGTGCTATTTTAGCAGATTCAAGCACAAAGCAACTAAACACCACATTTAAGTGCATAATGATTTGATAGATGTTTTAAGTTGCCCAAGCATTAACCTCAATCCTTGAGCACTAGCAGAATTTAAGAAACTACGCTTGAAGCAAAAAAAAAAAAGCAAAGACCCAAGCTTCAAAAGTAATTCTCTTTTAAATATAGATCAAAAGCAGAACCACAGGCAAGAACGTGTCGTATCAGCTTATCAAGTCAGGCTGACCACATTTAGTCTAATTCAATAAATAAATGTAATTTTTTTTCATTTAGAAAATGATCACACACAAGGTGCTTTCCTCCCATCTGTCACTATGTTCACTGCTCTTCTCTCCTCCATGCATCGTGCACCATCACAGATATACTGGACTGACTCCCTGAGGCTGAATCACACGCATACATGCACACACACACACACACACACACACACACACACACACACACACAGACACACACACACATGCACAATCATTATCACCTCCACATACAGCCCTCCGAAGTCAGAAGAAGTGGGAGATAGAGGGGGAGAAAAGGGAGGGCAGAGAGAACGCTCAGCCACCATTCAGAAACTGCTCCTTTCTAACACACACACACACACACACACACACACACACACACACACACACACACACACACGTATTTGACATATTTGACGTCCCCCATCACCAAATGTTTGGAGTGCTGATAGTTTCCTCCCCCACAGTCCACAGCAGACTGAATATTAGCACCATCACACAAAACATCACAACTCAGGCTGTGGCTGTTACTATGGAGACATGGTGTTGCTCTGGTGACACCTAAGGGACAGGACGTCTGAGGAGCGCCCTTCACACACCATACGTGCATGTGTATGCAGGTTTACGTTTTCATTTGCATGTTTCTCAAAGTCGGATGTGTAAAAATGATCTGTTTACTCAAATCAGCTGTGAAAGAATTTGGGGATTAATCAATGAATCAATCAATGATAAATTAATCAACAGTACTTTTCATGACGATCATGATCACTGAAGCTATCAATCAGGAAAATACACTAAATACTTGCTGGTTTCACCTTCTAAAATGTGAGATTTGCTTCTTTCCTCTGTTTAATAATGTTGTAAATTGAATATTTTTGAGATCTGGATTGTTGGTTGGATAAAACAAACTATTTGAATACGACTCTGCTTTGAGTAAAGATAAAGATCATCTTACTTGAAAGATCAATTCTAAAATGCTTAAACATGCTCTATATAAGCACTCATTCAAATCATACATAAATAGAAATGAAGTCTTTCATGGTTCACTGAATGGTCACATGACCTGAGGAATTAACACGCTCACAAACTATTTTCACTGTGCTTTCATGTGGTTTAGATTTGAATGCTACAGTTCATGTTTTAAGGTTTGAACGTGTCATTTAGTATCAGTCATACTTATCGCATTAGTCACAAGGGACATAGAGCCATAGTGTCACATATTCAATGCTAATTCTTTTCTCTTTCTAAAAGAACTAAGAACTACATTTGCCACAATAAAACAAATGTTCACTGAACTAATCTTGATTAGAAGAGGACTCAGGAAGCAGTTTCAAAGTGGATCAGTCCTTGTGACCCCATGTTTTCAACAACCGGCACACCAGCAGGACTTTCCCCTTCACTAGAAAGTACAACAGCTGTATTCTCATAAATCCACCTGTGTCTTCAACTTTTCAACATTCCTTAAAAAGCTCTTGGTGTTATTTAAAGACGTGCAGACACAGTCCTATAAGAAATAATCCCAACTATATGACGTTCTGCTGTAAAGTGGGAAGACTGTAAGGACTCCGTATTTAACACATTAACTTACAGAACATGCTAGCTGTTGCATTTAGCAGGATTGTGAAGAGAAACAGGTGTTTATTATTTTCTGAGTGAATTTCACAAAAAACTGTGAACCTAAAGAGTAACTTCACACATTCCATGTGGAGAAGTGTAAACAGAGCCAACCTGTGGAATCAAACACTAATCACCACTAAAAAAGTGCATTTTTCAGACTATATGGTGACAGAAAACATCACTTGATACTGCTGATTATTTCATGCCAGTCTAAAAGTATGATGAACTAATTTTTGCAAATAAAATGTTAGTGAATATCATGTCAGTGAATTCCATCATGGAGTACCTCTGCACCCATAAACTCACTTTTTATACGAGACCCTTTCATGAAAGAAAATATTTTCTCCATTAGTGGCCTATCGTGTATCTGTCTCTCATACTTTTAAACGTATCTTTGTATTCCTTGTCCCAAATGAAGGTGATGTTAGATACAAAAACACAAATGTAGGTTGAAAAATACCCAACGGAGACATTCACTCAGAGTTCACTGTGACCATAATCCACTTGGGAGTGGAGTGGCCTCTTGGAGTTGGGGAGACTTTTGTTTCCATCTCTTTACTATGCTTCCTAAAAGTGGTCGCCAACTGTCGCTCTGCCTTTTCCCTCCCTTGAGGAAACGAATGATGGTTAGTTTTTACCGATTCGTAAAATTATTTGTTATGAAATCCTTTGTGTTGTCACTATGCTCTTTAGAAAACATTTGTAGGTAATTAATACATTACCTAAAAGCAGTAAACTAATAGGGCCCTCTTGGTGAGGTCCCTTTCTAGGCCTACATCAGCTCACTATATGAAAACTCACTATTAAGCAGCAGAAATAGGAAAAAACATATATAACATGGTACATATTGTATGACATAAAGGAAAGCATAAAATATAGTATTATAAATTACAATGTTTGTTGCTGAGTATCACAAGCCCTCTTCAATACCCAGAGGAATGTAGGGGCCCTTTATATCCTTGACAAAGAAATAAAAAGAAGGTAATCCAAACCTCAATTTCAGACACTGTACGCACAAGTAATAATGTCATTTAGCCACTGTTGCCCAGTTTAAGAACCAAACTTACTTTGCATTTTTCTATCGCTCACTGTAGGCTACTGGAGCTTTCACTCACCCAAGACACTATGCGGAGAACGGTCTGAGGCTGCTGGAAGAAGGTGACGGGGTCGAAGGCTCCTCCGGCTTTCCCGGCTCCGTATGCCTGCATCCCCTCCATGATCCTCCTCCTCTCTGGACAGCCTCCTCTCTGGTCCTCCTCTCCTCCCTGCTGCTGGTGCAAAGGTAGGCTACAGGGTGTGTAGAGCACCGGGTAACCGACACGGAAAATCCCCGAATCTGCCTCCTGCTACTACTACCTGTACTGCTGCTGCTACTGCTGCTGCTGCAAGGATGGATGCACGTCTCTCCTTGGCTCCTTGGCGCACAGCCTCCCTTGCTCTCTCCTGTTGTTGTTTTTAATTTAACCTCTAAATTCCCTGTTGTCCTCTTCGATGTCCGGGCACAGGAAGCTGGTTGCCAGTGTTTTGATGATGCTCTCTTCCTCCCTGTCTCTGTCTCTGTCTCTCTCTTTCTCTCTCTCTCTCTCTCTCTCTCTCCCTCTCTCTCTCTCTCTCTCTGTCTCAGCGCAGGAGCCGGTGGCGAACACGTGAACGCGCCTCTGTTGTCACGCCTCGGACTGAAGCGCCATCCTCATCCAAAACACACTCGTAAAACCACATTGCGAGCACGCGCACGTGTTTGTAGAGGGCGCGCGCTTGTGCCCACAGGTTTGCCATAAGGAGTCACGCGCTCAGAGGGTTTTTACCCCCCCCCCCCCCCCCCAACAAAAAAGCAGACAGGAGAAGGAGACGAGGAAAACAAGTTGATTCAACTAGAACCACTGAAGCTAAGTTATATAACTAAGATGCCCGAGGGTGCTTAGTAAAGATTTGATGTTGTTTTAAAGTGACATAATATATCCACTGTAACAATCTGATTATAAATTTCAAAGCCATACAGTATAGTTAAAGCGCCACAAAAATTCTAGGTCCATGTCAAAAAGAAGTTATATGTAATGCTAAAGCAAGAACTTCCGCCCTCTAGTGGTCGCGCCGGGTTTTGCTTTTGAAATACAAGGTCCTTCTTTCTATGAATTTACATTTCAGGCAGTTCTTACTATCAAAGTGTTTACCACCCTGTCCGACCAACAAGACTTCACAATTAAAACGGTTATATTTAGTTTAAAGCCGTAGTTGAAGTTTCTACCGCAAGTTTAAAGAATACGTGCCTGACAGACAATGAAAAGGGAAAAATACCCCATTAACACTATTTTTACGTCCTCACAACCAGCCAATGAAAGCCCAGCTGCGCGCTGCACGTGCTCGTTGGCTGGACCAATGAAACACCTCCGTGGTTGGTTGCTAAGAGACGCGTTGTGTCCATGTTGCCGAGGCACAATGAAGAAGATATTTAGATGCAGCTAATCCAGTAAATAGTACTTATTTAGCATCATTAACGAAACAAGAGAGTTTACTTACAGTGTCTGGAGGTTATCCACTGTAATGGTGAAGCTGAGGGCGAGATGTCTGCTTGCCGGTAAGGTTTTGTGAACTTAGTCCATCCTTCTGCTACGTAAGGCTATCGGTACGAGGGCTAAAGCTAACCAGTCTGCTGCTAAACCCACCGTGGTCATTTCAACTTAAAGACGACAGAGATAAACAAGTCGTCCTCTGAATAATACTCTCCTAAACATGCAAACTTGTTGTTTATTTGTGTAGGTATCGTCAATTTACTGTCTCTCCTTTCTTCAGTGCCACGTACAACACGTTAGATGTTGTGATTCTGGTTGTAGATATTTGACACCAAACAGATGCTGGTAAACATGGCTGTGTTTGCCCAATAATTTAGCAATACTAGCACTAAACTTTAGCAATACCAACGCTGACAAATAAAGGAATAAATTTATACATTCAGAAAAGATTAGAAATTATGAACCACACTGTAAACACACACAGATTATGAAGTTATCCCTGTCTGTTTCTATCCCTCTGTGTGTGTGTGT